TGGTGTCATACCGTAATTTTGTTAGGGCATTTCATTTTTCAATCAACTAGCTTTATTTTACTTTGTCTAGAATAAAGATTCAGTTTTACATGCATATCAATAAAAGAAATTTTCAATTGCACATAAAATTAGTGTGCAAAAGGTTTTTAGTTCGGGCCAACAACTATCTGTTTTGATGAACTATATTACACGTATGATATTTTGGTATGCTCATTTTATTTTTTCACACACACGCGCGTTCGTGTTGTGATCAGTTTGAACCTTTTCATTACAGTATTTTTAACTGCAATATTTGATTCACGATTGTCTTTTTACTGAAGTATATTGCACATAGATTATTTTAGTGCATTTGTTCGTTTTTTAATCAGAAAAATTAAAGAAAAAATAAATAAGATTAGAATAAAATACAAAAATGGTAAAATTAGCATTAATTTAATTTGAAAAACCCTATTTAGAGGGTATAAATTTGAACAATTGAGGGCCATGCAAAAAGAAATCAGTCGATTCATATTCCTTTCGCTCTCAGCAAATTAAAAAAAGAAGGATTTTTCTTCTTCTTCGTGAGAGGTTGATACTCATTTGCATCTCTTATCTTTAAAAGAAATAGCAAAAAGAAGAAGATTTCTTCTTCTTCGTGAGAAATCTGTTAGCTTTTCACAAAAGCTCTTTCTCTCCACCATAACTCCTCTCCCACTTTTCTTCCTCCATTGACATCCATAACCTTCAACCCCCGTCTCAAATTTATATCTCCGACCATCACCATGTTAACATACCATAATCATCTCTCCTTCATCTAAACCACCATAACAGCTTCACACCATTCCTTACACATCATCATCTTTGTTCATCAACATAACCTTAACTAATACTTCATTCAACTTTTCTCAAACTTCCATTCAAAACCTTCACCAATATCACAACCAAATCGATCTCTCACAAGCCACCTCATTCGTTTGCCAAAACTCACAATGAACATTCTGTTCAACCATACATAAACACAAACATTAAAATCTCTATAATCCATAGTATTTACCACCAAACCACATCACATCAGCTAAATAAAACATAACAACAACAAAATCATAAACTAAAACATTTTAATAAATACCTGGTGTATGAAATCCAGAAAACAAAAAATCGGAACAAACATAGAAAGAAGAAGAATAAGGGAAGAACATTAATAATACACAAAACAATAACATTAACGCAACAACATCATCACCATAATCCTCACCTCCACGCACTACGTACCTTTTTCCACCCCTCACGGCCACTATCAGAGCCCTCGCTCACAGTGTCCCCTCTATTTCTTTTCCATAAACGACCGTAACAACTAATGTGAAAGCACTACTGCCACCACTTGACAATCTTCATTGAAACAACTGTCAGTGACTTTTTTTTCTTGCATTTGTGCATTTTATGGATTCACTTTGTTTGGTTTTTGAAGAGTGAGTTTGAAACCATTTTTTGCTTCCCTAATTTGTTGGAATAGAATTTGAGAGATGGGAGAGAGAGAGAGAGAGAGAGAGAGAGAGAGAGAGAGAGAGAGAGAGAGAGAGAGAGAGATAAGTAGCGATGGAGGGATATGGTGAGATATGTTTAGCGTGCCTGAGAGAGAGAGAGAGAGAGAGAGAGAGAGAGAGAGAGAGAGAGAGAGAGAGAGAGAGAGAGAGAGAGAGAGAGAGAGAGAGAGAGAGAGAGAGAGAGAGAGAGAGAGAGAGTGATTTTGGGGAGGAGAAAGAAATTTGTGAGAGTGAGAGAAATATGTTGGAGAAGAAAGAGATATAAGGTGTTTTCTTCATTTTTTGCTTTTATCTTTTTTGTTTTCTATTTATTTTAATTGTGAGAGCTGCTACATCTCAACTTTCGATTGGTTAGTTTCAAATAAGTTGGAATAATCATGTGTATTCATTCATTCGATCATGATCAAAGGGCCTAGATCGTTGGATCTTGTGGCCAGATCTAGACCCTTTAGTTCATCCAACGAACTAGTTTTTGGCATGTTTTTTAGTTCTTTTTTTTTTGTCTGTTTGTTTGGTTTAGTAGGCTCAACATAAATGGGCCTATTTATTTTTGCTAATTCACCCTCCATCCATGCATGCATCCCCTGTTTCTTGATTAATTTTTTATTCTTGAATCTTTTTTTTTTGTTTGTTTGATTTAATTAATTTTGAATTAATTTTAATTGTGAACCATAAAAATCGATTAATCAAGAATTCTATCAATTTATTTTTACAAAAATAATGAGTTTACTTCCACAATAAAACCACACTTATTTTCTCTACAATATTAACCAAGTTTCCCAATTAAATTCAATTCATTTTCAAATCAAAATCAAAATAAATTCTTACTTATTTATTTTCAAATCAAACCAAAGTCATCTAACTTATTTATTTTAAACATTTTCATCATAATAGATTAAAAAGGATTAGTTGGATGTAATATAATCCTAGTCTTGAATACTTGGGAACAAGTTGTAATAGCTTGCCCGCTCGGGTATTTGTCTTTCGCTTAAACTCCATCGATCGTGTTTGAAAACTTTCACAACATAATGGATTAAATATCTGACTATAGTCTCTGAGTATTTGGATACAAGTCGTAATAGCTTGCTCTTTCAAATACTTGTCTTCCACCTAAAAATAATTCAACCAATTAAGCTTATCTTTTTCCACCTTAGCACGATTTCGAAACATTTTTTTAAAATAAAAGATGCTTCGTCCATTCCGAGACGATGCAAACAACGCTTCGCTTTTACCATGTGCAAGTAAGTAACGTTTTACGCTCGAATTTGATGAGAATATAAATATGTGAGAGCCTGGATTATATTGTCAATTCTGACGTGACACAAATGTTCACTTCTCTATGTTTTGGTAGCAAACAATATTTTTCGCTTGAATGCGACTAAATACCTTTCATTAAAATAGACCAAAACACAAACATTTGCTACTTAGGTCTTTGTTGGGAATACATAGGAGCGAGATTCAATGTCTCGTCAAACACTATAATAAAAAATCCAAAAATATTTTTTTCTGGCTTAAAACTAAGTAGCTTTGAATTACTCAGCGCATATGAGGTTAATTGGCTCAATAATTAGGGCTCCCTATCACACCCTAATAAAGAACTTATTTTTAGTCCTTATCTATTTTCAAACTTTTAATAATTGACTTAATATCCTTCTTGATCTCGTATCTTAGCCCCGGAGTTCATTTTGGTCCCTTAGCTTTAAAAAGGTTCATATTGGTCTCTTAAATTTTCAAAACGCTCCATATTAGTCATTTTTGTCTTATTAACGATAAAAAAAAACTCAAAAATTGGTTGCTAAATTAGTCGTTAATTAGAAGAAAGGACTAACATGATACATTATGAAGAGTTAAAGGACCAATATGGACTTTTTTTAAGTTAAGGGACCAAAATGAACCTCAAGGTTAAGATATAAGACTAAAAAGGATATTAAACCCTTAATAATTAGAAGAAACAAACGAAAACTAACACTCATATTCACAAAGCTAACTAAATGGATCTCGTTGACTTGAGAATTCTATTTAGCATCTGAACCAATAGTAAGATAAGTGTCAATGGCCTCTTTGTGTGTGTTCTCGCTGTTCGGTGGAAATTATTGTCGTTTTCGGCAGGTCTTTAGTTGGGGAGTTCTAGCTAATTATCCATTACGACGTTCCTAGTTTTTTCCTTTCGACGACTTTCTTTTCTTGTATTTTAAATCTATTCGTTTCTACATTATTTTATTCTTTCTAGATTGTTTATGATAGATTAATATTATTATAGTTTTAGATTCTTCTACTATTTTCATACACATTTTAGTTTTAGGTTGTTCTATCATTTTTCATATAAGAATATTTTTAAAATTTATAGTGATTTTTGACACATATCAAATAAATAAAAATTATAGAATAGTTTATGGAGTTTAATCAAATTTGTTATAACGACAAAAGGGTACTTTAAATTATTATATTGTAAAGTTGTTTATAAAATTAGAAGAAAGGACTAACATGATACATTATGAAGAGTTAAAGGACCAATATGGACTTTTTTTAAGTTAAGGGATCAAAATGAACCTCAAGGCTAAGATATAAGACTAAAAAGGATATTAAATCCTTAATAATTAGAAGACACAAACGAAAACTAACACTCGATCATATTCACAAAGCTAACTAAATGGATCTCGTTGACTCGAGAATTCTATTTAGCATCTGAACCAATAGTAAGATAAGTGTCAATGGCCTCTTTGTGTGTGTTCTCGCTGTTCGGTGGAAATTATTGTCGTTTTCGGCAGGTCTTTAGTTGGGGAGTTCTAGCTAATTATCCATTACGACGTTCCTAGTTTTTTCCTTTCGACGACTTTCTTTTCTTGTATTTTAAATCTATTCGTTTCTACATTATTTTATTCTTTCTAGATTGTTTATGATAGATTAATATTATTATAGTTTTAGGTTCTTCTACTATTTTCATACACATTTTAGTTTTAGGTTGTTCTATCATTTTTCATATAAGAATATTTTTAAAATTTATAGTGATTTTTGACACATATCAAATAAATAAAAATTATAGAATAGTTTATGGAGTTTAATCAAATTTGTTATAACGACAAAAGGGTACTTTAAATTATTATATTGTAAAGTTGTTTATAAAATTAGACGGTTAATTGTCCATTGTTGATTAGTTAATCTTCCATTTATAATCAAAATATACAATTGAAAAGATGGTGAATATTTATGCTAAGGTCTATGGACATGGAGGCTAAATGTTTTCTAACTAAGATTTAATCTTGAAATTATGGAGGCTAAATGTTTTCTAACTAAGATTTAATGTTGAAATTATGGAGGCTAAATAATTTCTAAGTAAGATTTAATCTTGAAATTATGGAGGCCAAAATAAATATATATAAATATTAGAACTGTTCCACATACGTACCTTTTTTATTGACCGAAAGAAATGAAATAGATTTCGTTGAAGATTCAAGCCATCGAAGCCTACATATATATATGGCTAGAAGCAGAGAACAACTTCATCCATCACTCAGCAAACTAAACTATAACAGAAAAGGAAAAATCATTCACAAGAAAGCCATGACAACAAGCACCCATGTTTCTCTCTTCCTTAGCTTTGCATTCCTCTTCTATGGTAAGTACATCAATATTCAAGTTCAACAATCACCATTTCATTATTAATTACTTTAATCATATGTTTTTTCTTTTCCAGCGGTTGCAGGAGGTAAGGTGACATTCACGAATCGGTGTCAGTATACAGTATGGCCAGGAACTTTAACCGGCGACCAAAAACCACAACTATCATCAACAGGTTTCGAGTTAGGACCCGGTGCAATCACCTCATTGAACCTTCCATCTCCTTGGTCAGGTCGGTTTTGGGGCCGAACCGGATGCTCCTTCAACAACGGAAAGTTCATTTGTGCCACCGCTGATTGCGCATCTGGTCAAGTGGGGTGCAACGGCGCCGGTGCAATTCCACCCGCAACATTGGTAGAATTAACAGTAGCATCAAATGGGGGACAAGATTTCTACGATGTGAGCAATGTTGATGGGTTCAACGTGCCCATGTCTGTAACGCCACAAGGTGGGAGTGGTGACTGCAAAACCTCCAGTTGTCCAGCGAACATCAATCTTGTTTGTCCTTCAGACCTTCAAGTGAGAGGTTCTGATGGGAGTGTGATTGCTTGTAAAAGTGCTTGTTTAGCTTTCAACAAGGATCAATATTGTTGCCGTGGAGCTTTCAATACCGAACAAACATGTCCACCCACAAACTATTCTACTGTTTTCAAGAACCAGTGTCCGCTTGCCTATAGCTATGCTTACGATGATAAGACCAGCACCTTCACCTGCTCTTCAACACCCGACTATGCCATCACTTTCTGTCCATCCACTTGAAAACTTTTAATATCTTTCTATCTATAATAAAATGAGTGCATATATATAAACTCACAATTTAATAAACAAACTTGTGGTATACTATCAACCACAAATATGAATCAAACATATATAGTGTTTTTTTCATTAGTTATTACTCTATGATTACTTGTATTGTTGTATTGATTAATATATTATTTGGCCCTTTCTCTTCCTAATTTTATGACTTGCAAATGATTGTATCTTTTTTCTATTTTTTATGAAGGTTATAGTAATTACGATAGTGCAAAAATATTTTTATGAAGGTTATAGTAATTATTCTATGATTCTTGTTCAACAAGGTGATGTTGTTCGTGTGTAACGACCTGGGTTGATAAACAAATTTGTTCATAAACCATTAATAATCACCAAGGTCTACTTGTCTGTTTTCTAGACAAAATCCAATTTATGAAGAACAATTAGGATTTCAAATTAGCTGGTTCATGTGTACAAAATTCAATTTGATTATAGTGGAAATTTCTTGTGCTGCAAGGAGACTAGACTACTCTCAGCTGAAGAGGAACCAAGATAACTTTTGTGTGTTCTTTGCTTATTTATTTGCTTCTATTATTTTATCCGCTGGAACTTATTAATCAGATTCTGAACTTCTGTTTAGATTTTGAACTCTAGTTCAGAAGCAAAAACGATTTGGCATACACAATTTAACCCCCTTCTTGTGTATTTTTCTCACATTCAATCTTCACACCTATTCTTGGCAATTTCTTGCATAGCCTGGACTGAGGGTTCCACATGACCAGGTAAAGGATTGATGCTGATTTGAAGGCCTTATGGCGTGAATGAAATAAATTTGGACTCAATCAGATCCTGTACCCTATTTCGGAGTGTATTGCAATCCTCAGCTGAATGTCCTGGTGCATCGACAAGGAAACCACATCGGGCTTTGGGGTCAAAGCCTGATGGGTATGGAAGAGGAAGTGGATTCATTTGCTTCGGCTCTACTAATCGACTGTTGATCAAATATGGAAGTATATGACTGTATGACATTCGAAAAGAATCAAACTGCCTCTTTGGCCTTTGACTGCACTGGCCCTATCGTGGCATAACATGTTGCCGCTGATATGGCGGCTGCTATGGAATCTGTTGTTGATACTGAAAGGGCCTCGATTTACAGGATGGTATTGACCATGTGGAAGGAATGTCATTTAACATGGAGACCCAAAATTTTGCTGACTCTGAACAACTGATATATACAGGTACTAGTAATAAGGCGCCGAAAGTGGAGCTTGCAAAGCTTAGGGAGTTTCGCATAATGCATTATCTTCATCCTTCTTTTCCTTTTGGAAATTGCTAATGGATTTAATCTCACTAGTTTGGAACCTTGAGGCTCCTTGGATTCTTCTGCTTTTGAGGCCACCCTCGATGTGTTCCTCAATTGTCACCAGATCAGAGAAGGCTTATGACACGCTGCTTATCATCTGCTTGAAATATGGGCCTTGCAGAGTACTTATAAACATATATGTTAGCTCCCTACCCAGCATTTGCGGTTGAACCCGAGCACCCAACTCTCTCCATCTTTGGGCGTACTCTCTGAACGACTCAATGCTCTTCTATCTAAGATTTTTCAATTAAGTACGATTTAGAGCCATATTTATGTTGTATGGGTAATGTTTCAAGAATGCCTTAGCCAAGTCTTTCAAGGTGTGGATCTGACCTTGTTATAGTTTCATATACCATTCTAATGATGTTCCACTGAGACTGTCTTGAAAGTAGTGGATGAGCAACTTGTCATTGCAAAAGTATGCAACGATTTAATGATATTTCATTGTCAAATGAGTCTTTTGACGACTAATCCCTATTGTAACACCCTTTTCTACCCCACAATTAAAAGACACATTTATTCAAAGTCATCAGAGTAAAATGTTAAACTCAACAATAAATCACCTCAAAGGGCGTACATTTCTCAAAGCTCAAAATAAGTCAATGCTCCATCTATAACGGGTTTTCCCTGTCGCTACGCGAAAAATGACACAGAGTCGCCACCGGATTTTATTTATCCCACGGGGGAAAGGGAAATAGCGATAAAACCTTTGGGAAAAGAGCGTGGTCATCGCAACCAAGTCTTAGGGTTCGGGAGTCGGTTATGCGAGGGGAAGGTATTAGCACCCCCTCGCATCCATCGTACTCGATGGGAACCTCCTAGGTTATTTCGCGTGAATGGGTGTTTTATTCTAAAAGTTTGCTTGTTTAAGGAAAAGAGGGATTGGTTTATTTATTTTAATGCTCGCCAAGGATTGTGGCCCTTGTGCCTACGTATCCTCACTTAAAAGAAGTGAAGAATCAGAGCTCCGTAGTTCGGAGGCTTTATGAAATTGTTGTTTGTTGGTTGATTTTATACCTTGAAAAAGGTTTTTTTGGATTGACGCCCTAAGGCAAAAATAGTTTGATGAGTTGATGTTGTTTTTAGTTTTTTTTTTTGAAAAAAAATGTGTTCTTGACTAGGATTATACAAAAGACTTTGGATAGAGATGAATGTCTCGAATAACCAAGTCGAGCGCCTTGTATTCGAAACATTCGGAATGAGTGTAGGAGGGTTCCATTCTCATTCCTTCTCCACCACTTTAAAGTTCATGGTGCATAATTCCAATCATATATTTTATTGTGTTTTTTTTTGTATTTTTATGCGAAAAGAGAAACAATTGACGTTGGATCAAGATTTATTGCTTGTAAAGATATTTGAAGTGATGCGATTTAGGTCGATGGCGGTGCACAAGGCATCCGACTTACATGGTCAAAAATGGCTCGATAAAATCGAGAGTTTACTTTTAAAAATAATTTTTGGAAACAAAGGTCAACAAGGGCCATAACAATATTCACATACAAACATCATACAAACATAAGCCACACGGCTCAAAAAAATCGAGACACACAAAAAAAATGGCACGAAGTGCCATCAAAGAGTTCGCCATGCGAACTCTTTGAAAATTTTTTTTTTAAGGTAAAACCGGTAAAAAAATATGGAGGAAACAGTGGTGTGACACGGGTGAAAAAAGTTGAAACAGTGATGCAACACGCCCGGCCGTGTTGTGTGATATGGCCCGTGTTGCAAGGCCTGGGGAAAAAAACTTCATACAGTAGCGTGACACGGTCGGCCGTGTCGTGTGACACGGCCCGTGTTGCTGGTCCAGGTCGAAATCTCACATTTTTTTTTATGTTTTCGTTTCGTTTTTGTGGTTCCTTGAGGATGGTTTCTTAGTCCCTTAGGGGATTTTACATGATATACAGTTCAACAACACATAAAAGAGTGAATGAAATGAATATAAAAGCAAAGAATAAAAGGAGAAAGATTTGAAGAAATGGATACCAAGAGCTTTCTATCCTTCTTGCAAGTACTCCAATGACCTTTGTTGGATGTGCTCTCCCCTCTTCACTCTATGTTGTGAAGGTTTGGTTTCTCAATGATCCTCTTGTGTCTCTATCTCACTCTCTTTTTTTCTGTTTTTTGGGGGTTTCTTGCTAACTATTTTCTGGTTTTTTGCTCTTACTCTTTGCTCTCTCTATGTGTAGTCTCTACTCTGCTTGCCTCTTGTGTTGTGTTCTGTTTTGATAGTAAGGAATACTATGTTTTCTATGCTTGCTTGCAGCCCATTTTCCACCTTTTCTGTCAACTTTTTCTGCTGTCCTAAAGCCACACACTTTGCACACCTTTTCATCACCAACTTTCCATTCTTGGCAATGTCTTTTTCTTCCTTTTGTGCAGCCCCACTTTTCCCTTCTATTTCTAGTATGACTTGCTGCATTTTTCTGCTGTAGCATACTATACTACTATCCCTCTTTTTGCCCATTAGTCTCTTGGATGGTATTGCTTTGTATCTTGCCATGTAGCCAATTGTTACCACTCTTTGACAGCATTTGCAAACTGATATTTAGCAAGTAAATATATCATTTGCATGCTATTTCCTTGACTTTGTGACATAAAAAATGATCTTGTAACATAGTACATGTTGTCCTCTTGATTTTGTGACATGTAGTAATTCTTCAACTCTTGCATGGGGTTGTTTTGCCTATGATTGAACATGCATAATCTTGGCCCGTAAACATTCCAATGTTGATTTAATTCTTGCATATTTCTTGGATGTTTGTGAGCATAATGTAGCACATGAAAAAAAATGGTGTAGTATGAAGAGTACCATATCATAGATTTGATTAAAGACTTGAATGAAGATTTAGAAATAGATTAATTTCTAAACATTATCTAGAGTTGGAATTTTTGTAACAAATTACATGATTGTAATGTCACAAAATTCCTCTTAGTATTATTTTTATCTCCATTCATGAATCTTGAATTTTGGATGATGGATTCCCTCATGTGCTTAAAAATGAAATCTTGAATTATGCATTGATGATCTTGATTCATGCCTTAATAATTTGCACTCCACTTATGCCATAAAAATAAACATGTATGAAGGAGCTTTGGATTTGGCCTAGCATTCATGTCTATTAATATTTATCTTGAATATCCTTGTATTTTGTCAAGTAACTTCCCCTTTCCAAAATTTTCATGAGTAGAATTTTTCCTCAGATCAAACCTTAGGTGATGAACCTTTTTTCATGTAGTCCGAAAATAGACAAGTTACAACCAAATGGCCTAGTTCATACCTTGTGAACCCGCATGCTCGATACACAATAGAATGATGTATGATATGCCGAATGTAGGGTATAAAAGGCTAACGGTGAAAATGAGGGTGTGACATTCCCAAAAGATATCAAAATTTTCTCAAAGGCAGCGGAACTCACAAGGCATATTCCAAAGTTTTCCTTATACGGAAAGGTAATCATAATAACTCAATAAAACATAGCTCGACTCAAAGACCCCAACCCGATGTTACACTATCAGAGCAAGACCCTCTAAGTTGACCAAAGGCCAACAACTCAAAACTTCAAAAGTCCTCATCGGCATCCACGGCTAAACCTGGTCATCTGGACGTTACCCACGTGGAGGTAACATTCAAATAGGCAGGGTG